AGCTCCAGGTTGAGCTGTTGTTCAGCATCTTAGCTGTAGAGGGCAGTGTCACTGGCCCTCATATGTGGGATCCAAACCGGGGTCCTCTGGCGTCCCAAGCCAGTTCTTAACCATTGCGCCACTCGGCCGGCCCCTGACATGTTTTTAAGAGATCACTTTGTCTGCCAGGTGGAGAATGGCTCACACAGGGTCAAAGGTGAAGCCAGGGGACAGAAGTGTGTGCAGGCCAGCAATACAGAGCTTTGGGGACTGGAGGGCTGTCTCAGAGCTGCTGACCTGCCTTCCTTGAAGCTGGCGGGCTCAGCCCCTTTGTCCCCACCTGGACCCTGCAGCTCATCACCCACCTGCAGCCAGGTTCCTGATAAGAGCCAGGCAGGTCTGGCCTTGGGCCTCCAGGAAAACCTGGCTCTCACAGCTGCTCTCACCTTGGGGTCTTCTGTCCACCACGCACTTGCACTCCCCCCACCCCGTTCCTGGCACAAAGGCACTCAGCACAGCTCCCATGAGTGGACACGCCCATCGCCAAGCAGTGGGGTGGCTCCCAGAGCCTGGGCGCCTGGGTCCAATCCCAGACCAACCTCTTACTGGCTGACGACCTCAGACAAGACACTGACTGCGCCACGCCTGTTTCCTCCTTTGTGACACAGGCAGAATACACCTGCCTCCGGTGGTCACAGGGATTAGATGCATTAGCATACCTGGTGTCAGCTGGTGTTATTCAGTCACCGGGTACAAACCAAGTCCACACCAGTGCGCCAGCAATGGCCACCACACGCCTCGTGGTGAAGAGCCTGAGGTGGCCTCTGCCAGTGCCCTCAGGGCTGGGGCTCTGGGCAGTGGCAGCAGGATGGCCAGGGGCTGCAGCCCGGCCGACAGCAGACCTGCAGGGCAGGGTCCTCGCCCCGGGCCATCTGGCTGGGGCTGAAGGTCATGGCCGCATCAAACTGGGCCTTGAGCAGCTTGAGTTGCTTCACCATCTGCAGGGCCTCTGGGGTGACCTGGGCCGCACACCCCAGGAGGTTGTAGTTCTCACCGGGGTCCTCAGACAGATCAAAGAGCAGTGGGGGCTCATGGGCAGTCAGGGGGTTGGCAGCATGGCAGGCAGGGTCTGCCGTGGTGTCGCTGTGGGCAGAGCCTGGGGAGGGGGGCACATCTTACCAGGGAGCCGAGGACCCAGGCCCTGGGGCCGCGGGGGTCAGTAGGGCTGGGGGCAGTTACCCTGGGTGAAGAAGTGGGCCTTGTACTTCCCGCTCCGCACCGCGAAGACGCCGCGGATCTCATCTGGGTAGGCCGGGTAGAAGAACAGAGTCTGCCGGGGGCTCTGGGGGCAAAGGCGGGGGTCACAGTGTGAGGCGGGGCCCCAGGCCCTGACCAGCCTCGCCTCAGGCCCTGAACATGCCCACTCAGGAGCTCCAGAGGCGGCAGCGCTTGGATGCGCTCCCGCCAGGAAGGAAGGGGTGCGAGAAGATGGGTCGCTGGTCCCACCTTGCCAGTGCCCAGCAGCAGGGGGCTGAGGTCAACACCATCCAAGGTGACGTTGGGCAGTGGGGCCCCAGCCAGGGCTGCCAGGGTGGGCAGTAGGTCCAGGGAGCTGGCCAGCTCATGGGTCACGCCTGGGGGCAGAGGGTGGTGTGGTCACTCCATTCACCATGAGGGTTGGGGAGGTGGGGCTGGGATCCATGAGGAGAGGGCCTGAACACTGACCAGGGGCAACGTGGCCTGGCCAGAAGACCACGGCAGGCTCCCGGACACCCCCGTCGAAGGTAGTTCCCTTTCCACACCGCAGGAGGCCAGAGCAGCCGCCGTGGGACATTCGCATGGTCTCCGGGCTGGGACACAGAGGAGGGCGTCAGCGCCCAGGAGCCCGGTTGGCCCAGCCCCAGGCGTCTAAGTTACACACCATGCCCAGAAACCGCCAGCACGTGCCATCCCCTCCCTGTCCCGCCAAGGCCACCACTTCTAAACGCGTGGCCCCACCTCCCACATGCACCTGAAAGCCACCATAACTTGGCCATCATTTTCTGAGACCCCCTTGTCCTGCTATGTCCTGGGCCAGCAGTCAAGATGGGGAGACCCAGTGTCTGGCCTGTGAGAGACCCACTGGCATTCCCCAAGCCCCTGCCGGCATACCCATTGTCTGCAGTGAAGATGACCAGTGTCTCTCCAAGCAGTCCCAGGTCCCCTAGGGTCGTCATCAGGGCCCCCACAGCCGCATCCAGCTCCATCAGGGAGTCCCCGAATGGCCCGCGGCCTGAACGCCCGGCAAAGCTCTGCCCGCCAAACTGGGGGTAGTGGGTGTGCTGGGGGCGGAGACTGGCGTTAGCCTTGGGCAGGGTCCGCACAGTGCAGGGGGCGGGGTCAGGGCGGCATAGGGGGCTGGGCGGGGGCGGGGCCACTCACGTGGGAGGCGTAGTACAGGAAGAACGGGCGGCCTTGGCGCTGGGCATCAACCATGAGGTCGCGAGCGAAAGCCACATAGCGCGCCTCAAGTCCAGGCAGCCAGGGGGGCTGTGCCAACACAGACAGGTTGGCCAACAGCGGGACAGGCACCCGGCCCTGGTCACAGATGCCATCACAGGGGGTGGCCGGCGGGAAGCAGGTCAGATTCTGGCAAGGGCCCTGGGGGAGCGGCTGTATTCAGGGGTCTGGGCTGTGGGGTGGGGCTGGAGGTCAAGGGGAGGGGGCTGGCAGGGGTGGATAGGAGGGCAGCTGAGGGCCCCGATGGTTCCTACCTGGTCATGGGAGTAGGGGATGCCCAGAAATCGATGGAAGCCCTGATGGGGGGGCAGAAAGGCCCCCTCAGGCCCCACCCCAAGATGCCACTTGCCAGCCATCCCTGTGAGGTAGCCTCGGGCAGCCAGGACCTCAGGCAGTGTCACCTCCTCCAGGGGTAGGCCCCCTCGGGAGCCAGGCTCCAGAACTCCAGGGTACAGGCCCATCCGAACTGGGAGTCGGCCGGTCAGGAGGGCGGCCCTACAGGGCAAATCACAGTCGGTGAGACAGAGAGAAACCAAGGACAGGGAGAGAAATGTGACCCGCAGAGAGACACTGACCCTCTTCCACCCCACTGCAATTCGGGGTGAACCTGGGAGGAGCTGGATGGTTGAGAGTGGGTGCTGGTGAGGTGCCCCTGCCCCTTGCTCACCGGGAGGGTGTGCACAGAGACACTGGCACATAGAAGTCTGTGAACCGAAGCCCCCTTGCGGCCAGCTGGTCCAGGTAGGGGGTGGTGGAGCTGGGGTGGCCGTAGGAGCCCAGGTCCCCATAGCCCAGATCATCAGCAAAGATCAGCACGATGTTAGGTGGGCTGGCAGCGTCCAGAGCGAGTGCCCACAGCACCATCATGGCACATGGCACAGATAGGCTTGTCACAAGAGACCCTTGGGAGGGAAGGCAACTGACTCCAGCAAGCTCTGCTCCAGAGACCCCGCACTACCCTCCCCTGAGACCCCAGACCCGACACTACCCTCCCCTGAGACCCCAGATCCAGCCACCATCCTCCCTGAGACCCAGGTACTACCCTCCCCTGAGAGCCCAGACCCAAATAATTCCGGAGCCAAACGCCTTTCTGAAGTCCTATCTAGAGGTCTCGGTATTGGGAGACTCCCCGACCTCGCCCTTCCACCC